AATTAGATTAAAATTTTTGTTTTTTTTAAATTATTTTTTTTTTCTATCAGAGTTTTGGGTTTGGTGAAGGTGTTAATTTTCAAATGTCATTTGGTGTTGGTGCTTTTCCATTTGGTCTATTTCAAACAACACTTGCAACAAATAATACCAATCATACTTATGATCTACGTATAGATTTTAAAATAATAAAATTTTTTGATTTCTTTTTTTTTTTTTTTTAGCACCACCTGGTACACCAGAACGTTATCAACATGAATTGTTATCACGTGTATTTCTTGGCATTGCATTAGCCGTGATTTTGTTTATTATTTTTAATTGATCTTTTGATTAAATATGAGTTAACTAATTTTCTATTTCTCTTTGATTTTGTATGTGTGTATGTAAAGCAAAAAAGACGAAACAAAAATAATACTAAAAAATCGAAAGAACTTCTAAAAATTTTTTGTTTTTTTGTTTTCTATACTCCTTTAATGTGAATTTTATTGTAAATATATAAATGATTAGACCAATAGGAAAACAAATTCTTTTATATTTCAGATATAAAAAAAGAAATGAAACTATACAGATAATGATAGATATTCTATTTATAACGTAAAAGTTAATCAAAATAACTAAATATTGAAAATTGTAAGTAATTTTATTATACGAGCCATTTCAATAGAGCACTGCGGGTCTAGGGTTCATAATTTTATTTTTTTGTCGGGTCCAGATCCAACCTTTTATTTTTTGTCAGATTCGATTATGTCATGAAATAATTCAGAATATGTTGAGACTGTAGTAGATAAGCTATGGTAAAATTGTCAGCCTGATGTCTTGATATTGACGGGAGATATTGATCAAACAAGAGTCAAAAATAGCAAATTTGATAAACCAAATTTCTCTGTCCATGTTCACTCTAGAGATTTTTTGTTCTTTAAGAGCATGTCAGAATGTAGTGCAGTATAATCCTTTTTTTTTAAATACTTATTTTTTACGGGAAGTTCAATAACTCAAAAATCTCTTAAAAAATGAGTGTCGAATTATATAATAAAAAAAAAAGTTTAATTAAATATTACATATATTGAATGGGAAACGACAGATTATTTTTTTGGAGAGACCTTAAGAATTTTGTTCGCGCAAAGTTTGAAATCGAAAATCGATTTTCAATGTAACTGGAAGAGAATCACAATTTCTGATTTGAAAAACCCATCTTGAGAATAAAAGTCTAAAAAACTAAATCATTCTAAAATTGCCCAAATCGATCAGAGATGAGATTGATTCAATTCCAAAAAAAAAAAAAAAAAGACACATGAACCAATCTCATTTCAGATTGGAATATCTTGTCATCATAATCATATCATTT